CAGGCGGAACACTCCCAGCCTTCCCAGCCTGGCTCCAGAGCATAGGGTCTCCAGCCCTCAGAGTATCTCCATGGCTCCTCTGGACTTGCTAAAACAGATCCACGTTTATTCACCATATTAATTCTACTGCAACACCAGATTTTTACATCCTTTCATGTACTAACTGTCAGTGTGAGCTCCTTACTGAAACCATAATGTCATCCTTTTGGGATCTAAATCCTCTGGTCTACACCACTTCGTTGTACAGATCTCACTGCAGACAGGATGCTCACAGCTGTATTTAAATTGGCTCCCCCTGGTCCAGGGAAAACCCAGGCTGAAGCTTACTGGTGCCCAAAATTTAAACATGAGCTTGCTGTTATGGTACCTGCCTCATCCCTGGGAGTATCCAAGGCAGGCTGGATGAGGCTTGGAGTGACCTGGTCTAGTGGAAGGTGTCCCTGCCCATGGCAGGGGTTTGGAACTAGATGTTCTTGAATGTCCCTCCCAACCCAAACCAGTCTGTGATTCTGTGATTAATCTCTCAAAAGATTTTATTTAGGGGCCAAAACTACTCTGCAGGTGCACCTCCTGAGTTTGCTTCAAGAGCTTCTTACCTGAAAACTCCTGACCATTTCTTCAGCAGAGTTTCACTATACTGGTCTTGGACCTCCAACAGCATGTCAAAGAGCTGGTTCACTGGGAAGCCATATCCCTGCAGTGGGATGAGGGAAGAAAGCAACTTCAGGTGAGGAAAAGTCACCAACAGGCAGTTCAAGATGATTTACTGTATTTAAGGGGAAGCACATGGGCAAATTCTCCTCCACCACCACCTCAGTGGTGAACAGTGCTGGTGGAGGAATTTAGGTGGGGATTTACCAAGAGGGATAGGACCAAGGGCTATTAAAGGCTCAGCTAGGTGTGGGTGGAGGCACAAGAGCTTGGTAAGGTGCCTGGGGCTTGGTCCCAGCCCACACTGGAGCACAGAGCAAACCAGGCTGTCCATCAGGTGCCATGATCCGTGCACTGCAATGCCAAAAAGGAATCTGGGCCACTACAGCCGGAGCCCTGATCAGCCATTTAACCCACTGATGGACACCATCTGTGAGCAGCATGAACAGTGAGAACACAGAGTGATCCCAACAGCTGTGTACCTGGAGTGTGTCTGCAAAGAGCACGATGAGGTTCTTCAAGTCTAACACCAGGCTCGGGTCGGAGCAGTAGGACTGTAAAGAAGGGGAGAAATGAAAACGTGGTTTTAACTGCATGACACACAAAAAGTATTGCCCTCAGCCCTCCTGTGTTATCACTTGAGTGATAATAAATGCACAGGCACATTGTAGAGCCTTGTGATCAGCAGCTTTTATCCTCCAGCCCTTGCCCCAGTGGTGAACAGGGCAAGGGAAGACACACTGATAAGGGTATCTCTCCTCCTAACACACTGCTCTCCAAGCTCTCCATGATGAATAAGGCTTTGGGTTGCTCTAGAGATACCTGAAGTGTCTCTAAGATTCCCCAGGAGCTGCTGGGGAAGTGAGTGGAGATGAAGCAAATCAACACACTGTCAGAGCAGGACGACAGCAGTGCCTCTCATGTAATATTGAGTGTGTTGTGTCTGATGGTAATGAAGCATCGTGGGGAGGCATCCCCAGGCCCTGCTTCGCTCAGGGCTCCTGCCTCAGGCAAAACATGCTGCATGCCTCTATTTCAACAACACTAATGGTCAGAGGGACAACACAAGGATTTATTGTGGGTCAAGACACTGCTCAAAGCACTAAAGACAAGAGTTGGTGTGGTGATGGTGCTAATGTGTCCCTCAGAGCCACCTCACATTACCCACAGGCTCCGTGAGCTCTCTGGACACAGCCAAGCTCCCTGTGCTTAAAGATGTAAAGTTTCAGACAGAGTCTGACCAAATATAGAATCAGTGATCACAAGCTGGAAAGAGAAGCAGATTTAAAGAGAACGGATTTAAAGCTCACTGGAAACTCAAGGAGGAACGACTCCATTAATCAATGGAAAGGCTGGAAAAGATGTTTTCCATCTCACTGTCCAAAAAGAGAAAGTCAGAAAGAAAGATAATGCCTTAAAGCTCTCAGAAGTGATAAAAGATGTCCCTGTCTGCAGCAAGGAAGAAAATCTAAGGGTAGGTTTGGCTGAATGGGAAGAATTGAGACCCTCCATCATATCTCCATATGGGATGGACAGCACTGGTCTATATGGGACCTGCAGCCTGAGCAGTGTTCAGAGTAAATGGTAATGACCACAACAGTAGTGTTGAGAAATCATGTAATGCTTCATGATTACTGCAAAAAAACCCTCTCCTGGCAGCCACTTCATGCATGAAGTTTGGCATCACTTGAAACAACTTGTCATGGCAACAAAGCTGGTAAAACTGCAAAGCACCGTGTTTGTGCTTCATGGTTCCACCTAGGAGAAAATCCCACTTAAAAAGAAAATAAACACAGGTTTACAACCCAGTGGGATGTTCATCTCTGTGTTTACTCCCTTTTGTAACACAGCAGCTTAATTGGAAGGAGGCAACTTTCCAGTCAGCACAACTGCTGTGTTGAATGGAGACAGAGAACACCAGGAAGCTTCTGTGGTCCCTCATTCTAGTGAGCTCCAGGTCTAGATAAGAGTCATAGAATGGTCTGGGTTGGAAAGGACCTTCAAAACCATCTCATTCCAAGGCCCTGCCATGGGCAGGGACACCTTCCACTAGATCAGATTGCTCCAAGTCCCATCCAACCTGGCCTAGGACACACCCAAGGATGGAGCAGCCACAGTTACTCGGGGCAACCTGTGCCACTGCTTCACCATCCTCACAGGGAAGAATTTCTTCCTAATATCCAATCTAACCCTGCCCTCTGACCATGTGACTTCATTCCCCCTTGTCCTATCACTCCATGGATTATCCCCATCTGCACATGTAGCTGCTAAGCTGAAGTCACAGGCATCTATATGCAGAACTCAGTGTAGTTGGGAACCAGCAGCATATTGTGACTCCACACAAAAATTTCAGGTTTTTCTCAGCAAAGAGCAATGACATCATTAGCACTTGGGAACCACCACATGCCTGTAACACCCTGTCAGATGCAGGTCTGCACCCACACCCCCTGCAACAGACATGAGCTCTCACCCAGCACTGCTCTCCCCAAGGACCTGTGGGCTATCAGTGATTCAATACTTTGTTTTTCCTGGAGAAAATTACCCAATTTGAAAACAAACTTGTGTAAAGTAATTAATCAAAGACTCAAAGAATCATAGAATATACTGAGTTGGAAGGGACCCACAAGGATCATCCAGTCCAACTCTTGGCCTGGCACAGGACACCCCAACAATCCCACTATGTGTCCGAGTGTTGTTCAAACACTCCTTGAACAACACTCTGAGGCACATCAGTCATTAATAATTTTCCTTTTATGGTGAAATGTAGTTTTTTCATCCCATTATCCAACAGGGTTTTCAGCAATTTCCAGTGCTCCATTCTAGGATTCTGACTCTGTACCAAACAGGGTCATGCTTTGGTGCGCTAAAGAGACGCCTTTTACCCCTAGTTTTTGGGGACAAATCAACTCCCTCTGTTGGTGCTTCTCAAAAATTATCTGTGAAATAACAGGAAAGATATAAACCCTCTGTTTGCTCCTTCAAAATCCTGAGTTTGGTAGGGAAACGCAGTGCATGGAGAAGCAAAAAAAGCTGGAGAAAGCTTGGAATGATTAGCTGTGTGTCTTCATGTTGTTCCTTGAAACAGCTATTAGAAAAAGCGGGAAAACAAAGAATACTAGTGTAAAAGCCAATATTCCCAGCATGTCAACTTACAGCCAAGCAACAGCTGAGCAAGCTGAGGCTTTTACTTACTGAATGTGTCCTTAGTGCTGCAATGGTTTTGGACAAGGCCATCTCCCACAGCTCATCAATATAAGCTCGGTTGACCAGTCCCTGCGTCGTGTGCAGGATGTGATCCTCAACCACAAAAAACCTACAGTTGAGGAAAAAATGGCACTGTCAGCACAAGTCACAGATTTTGAGAGATCAAAACAGATCCCCAGACCCCACAGGAGAGGGATATGTGGCATTTGCACAGCCAATATCTCCAGAGTGAGCTCATATCTGAGGTGCCTGTGTCAGATATAGGCTGCACTAAACACTTGATTTGCCCATTTTTAACACCACAGTGTTTTATGAGTTCCACTGCATTACAGAAGTGAGTTAAAACACTCCTAATGCCACTCTGTTTATACACAAAGGCAGAAATTCCCCTCTCCAAGTTCTCCACCTCGTTATTTCAACAAGAACCACTGATTAGACTCAGCTCCAGCCAGCAGCAATCGCTTTACAATTGGTTAACTGCAGGGAAAATGCTTTAACTGCAGGGAAAAATGCTTTGTCTACAGGGAAAAATGCTTTAACTGCAGGGAAAAATGGCCTAACTGCAGGGAAAAATGCTTTAACTGCAGGAAAAATCCTCTCTCACACCTAGACACACCACAGGCTCACAACCATTTAAAGACAATCAGTTCGCTCCAATCTCCAGTTACCAAATCTGCTGGTCAAAAAGAAACTGTTTTTCATGGAGTGAGTGTGAAACTGGAGATTTTAAACAACAACACACAAAATCTCAGGTGTGTTTTGCCAAGGAAATGCAGCCCAGGAGCATGGAGCTGCGTGCGGTGAGCAGCACACGTTGCACTTTGTGATGGTTGTAACTAGATATTGAAATTATTAGCATTAGCTCGACAAATTTCAACATCACACCCAATTTTGACTGGATCAGTGGTCTTTGGTTGCCTCCTGTAAGAGCTGGGCTGGTTTTGGAAGGCTCTTGCCAAACTGGAGTGTAATAAGATGAAGCTCATAGGAATCGAGGCTTGAGAATCACCTCCTTTACCAAGACAAGAATCAAAGAATAATCATTAAATATTCAAGAATAATTAAGGCAGAAGACCTATTCATCTCAATAGTGGAGCAAGTAGATGCACATAGTCCACCAAGATTATTTATCCTCCAATTCCCAGACATTCCCATGCTGGCACAAGAGCTGGAAGGTCTCTCCACACTCCCACCAGTGACACAGCGAAGTTCATCAGTGCTAAAATACACTCTGAAGCACTTAAAAAGCTTAAACCAACTTTTTTATCCTGTTTTGGTTTAAAGGACCCACAAAAAGCTCAACATTCCCTCCTCTCTCTTTCTTTTTGAGCTCCTCAGCAACCAAGCAGACATATATTTAGCAAGAATGGATATAACGGGAATACCTACCCTACAATTTGATTGAAATACTTCCTGTAGCCATCCAATGTCTCGTGCTGCAACACAGAAAAGGCAGGAAACATAAACACAAAGGTGGCCACTGGAAATTTTAGAGATAGCCCAGCAGGAGCAGGACCCCCAGAGACAATCCTCTGCTCCACTGTGGGCAGGGAGGGGATGGCTGTACCATGTTGGAAGGAGGCTGCAGGACCAGTCGAGCTTGTTTTCTTCTCTGCTTCCTGTAGTAGTTCTCAAAGGTTTCTCGGGCACCCTGGAAAAGGGAAAAGGTTCATTCAAGGAATTATGGCTTGCATTAAGAGTTAACTTGCAATATAGAGTCACAGAATTGTTCAGGTTGGAAAAGCCCTCTGAGATCATCGAATCCAACCACTGCCCCAGCACTGCCCAGGCCACCACTAACCATGTCCCCAAGTGCCAGAAACACACAGCTTTTAAATCCCTCCAGGGATGGTGACTCCACCACTGTCCTGAGCAGCCTGTTCCTGTGAATAGTTTTTCCTTAATATCCAACCTAAACCTCCCTTGGTGCAACTTGAGGCTGTTTCCTCTAATCCTGTCACCTGTTCTCTGAGAGCAGAGCCCAAACTCCACCTGGCTCCAACCTCCTGTCAGGGAGTTGTAGAGAGTAGGAAGGTTCCCCCTGAGCCTCCTTTTCTCCAGACTGAGCTCCCGCAGCTCCCTCAGTCACATCTTGTGCTCCAGCCCCTTCCCCAGCTCTGTTCCCTTCTCTGGACACACTCCAGCCTCTCAATGTCTTTCTTGTCCTGAGGGGCCCAAAACTGCCCCCAGGACTGGAAGGGCCTCAGTAGTGTCAGCACAGGGTTCAAGGACTGTCCTGGTCCTGCTGCCACACTATGGGTGGTACAATAGATGTTGCACATTTATCTATCATCTATCTATCTATCTATCTATCTATCGCATATGCTGTGCTGCATATAACACCAAACCTCATATTCCCTAGCACATCTGTGTCTTACAGCAACACTTTGCTGTAAAATGCCTTTCAAATATCAGAAAGCAGAGAGTTTTACTCAAAACACTGAGTTAACGCCCAACTGTTCATAAAGAAGAGTCTATGATGAACTTTACCCAATTCCCAGTGTGGCTCTGCAGGTGTGGGATATAGAGAGTTACAACCAGCTTCTCTCTGGGCCATAACTTGGACAAACATCAGATTTACTTAACTGAAGGCAGTGAAACAAACAATTTCTAGTGCTAGCAAAAGGGGACCGAACAATGCCAGTGATTCCTGGAGAGTGATACCAAGCCACAGACATCAGGGAATTCAAGGCCAGGTTGGATGGGACTTGGAGCAACCTGGTCTAGTGGAAAGTGCCCCTGCACATGGCAGGGGGCTGGACTAAATATCCTTTTTAAGTCCTTTAAACCCAAACCATTCTGTGATTCTAGAAGTTTCAGTGTGGGTTACAAAGGTTTCACAGAATAACAGAATCACTGAAGCTGGAAAAGACCTCTGAGATCATCAAGCCCATCCTAAGATCAATGAGTCCAGCCAGTCTATGATACTGGGATATACAGTTGGGAGCTCATTTTCTCCCAACTCAGCTGTGGGTCTGAGCAGCCAGAGGAGAGCTGGTTAGGCCCAAAACTGAATACCTACACTCCCCTCCATGATATCACTCACCTCTGGTGGGCACTGCACAGAGACCTGAGGTGGTTTGTTTCACCAAGTCATAGCACGTTAAGGGGTTGGAATGAACCTTAGAGAATACCTAGTCCCAACCCCCTGCCCTGGACAGGGACACCTCCCACCACACCAGGGTGATCAAGGCTTTATCCAACCTGGCTTTGAACACTGTCAGGGTTGGGACAGCCACAGCCTCTCTGGGGCATTCACAATCTCCTTGGAGTATCCACCAGCTACCTGGGGCATCTACAACCTTCTTGGGGCAGTCACAATCTCTTTGGGCAACCTGTGCCGGTGTCTCACCACCCTCACAGCAAAAAACGCCTTCCTAATATCTCATATTAATTTCCCTCTTTCAATTTATCCCCATCACTCCTTGTCCCGTCACTGCAGTTCCTAATTAAGTGTCCCTCTCCAGCTTCCCTGGAGCCCCTTCTGATCCTGCAGGTTACTCTGAGGTCTCACACAACCTTCTCTTCTCCAGGCTGAACAACCCCAACCTCCTCAGCCTGTCTTCAGAGGGAAGGTGAAGGCTTCATCTGAGCATCCCACCCAGGCACCAAACCCAGGAGGCTCCTTCAATGCCATGGACCTGCTGGAGCATTCTGCCCACCACCCTGGTCCCTCAGGCTATGTAAAACCTGGAGATCTCATCCCTGACTGTTCCTCCCTTCTCCACACCCTCACTGTTTTATGTCTGCAATTGGATTATAAACACTCCAGAGAAGGGACAACGTTTTGCTTTGAACTGTTCGGAGTCAAGGGGAAAAAAAAAAAAACAAATCTCATTTAGAATTCACAATACAAACAACATGCAGCAACAAATATCACCTGAGCACAGCACCAGCTGTCAACCTGCTCTACTACAGAAAATAAATTAATCAAAAGGAAAACCTGATGGTAATTTAATGATTCTCCAGCTGTTCTAGCATTATACAACCAGGCTGCCTCAGGATGCCCTCAGCCACCAGGCTCTTATGAAATGGCTGTACAGAACCCTTGAGGAGCCATAGCCTGACTTGCTCCTTGTCTTCTCAGAGCTGGATCTCCAGGCTGAAATAGGAATCCAGCCTTGCTAGTGTGCCCAGCAGCTCTCCCTCCTAGTTCTGCCCTTCCCAATGGGGCTAAAATCCATCCAAAGAGCCTTCCTGCACCATGATGTGCACTGCAAAGATTATGCAGTCTGTAACGTGGATTTGCCTCTGAATTGTACTTTTTATTGTCACTGAATTATATTTTTTATCCCAGTTGAGTGGGATAAAAATCAGGAGGCACAGGATGAGCACCTCCTGACCCATCCATCCATCCATCCATCCTTGGTGCCAATACTCTGGCAAGGCACAAACCTGGATGGGTGTAAATACCAGTCTTTTCCCAGCAACCAACTTAAGTATCAGCTTGAACCTACAAGCAATTTGACACTCTCTTTGAGAAGGGTTTTAGAACCAGAAGCTGTGTATGAACCAGCATTTGCTTGTCATCTGCCTTCTCAATGCTCTCAAAAGCTGTTTCCCCCAGGAAAGGGAAGGATCACAAGGCAGAAATTGGGAATCTACAGGTTAGACCCAGAACAAGGAGGATTGTTAAAATTTCTATCAAGCTAAGTGACAAAAATTAAGTGATACATCAAGTGATTAAGCTAAACAATACATTCAGAGGACCTACAAGCAGGGAGCTTTGACATCCCTTCAAGCTCCTCTCTGAGGCCTGGGAGCTGGAGCTTCTCAGGATGCTGGTGTTGACCATCTCCTCTCCATTTTGGCAATGCCACAGGAGAACCAAGCTGGAATGGGCTGTCCCACTCCCACCCACCACTGATGGCACCAAACTACAGATATTTATTAAGTTCTGCTGTGCCTCATCTCTCAAAGCCTACACAGGAACTACAAAACCCCCTCATGATCTTCATCCTGACCATGAGAGTAACTCATCCCTGGCAGTATCACTGAGGTCTTTGAGTGAAGCTCCTCACTAAACTACTCCAGCCCACTGCTACCAGTTACTTTGTGGTCAAAATTCAAATCTGAAGGTGTTTTTCCCCCTATAGCTTAAATAAATGGCACTACTGAAGGCAAGAGGACACCAAGGCTCAGCCACCACCCCGGCACAGCCACCATGGTGACTGGTTGCACACATCAGCCACCACGTTAGCTTTAGGCAACATCATATGAAGTTGGTGAGTAATTAATGTTCTATTACTGACCACAGAGAAGCTGCCATTTCCATTTACTGGAAACTTGGAGAAACTTGCTCATCAGGGAACAAGAGGCCTGAAATCAATCAGTCTTTTTAAGACCAGATTGTGAAGACTTCTGCTAAGACTGCACCAAAGAAATTCATTCAGCTGAAATCATGTTCCCTCGTCTCTCCAACTGAGCTCTGAGAAGAACTCCTGCCTGCTCACCTCACCCTCATCATTCAGGAAAGAAAGGACAAGAAGTCATCCTACACATGGCTCCACTTCCAACATGGTTCTGCCCATCCTCCCATTATCCTGCCCCACCACAGACCTTATCCTGTACCTTCTGACCTCATTGAAAAGCTTCTCCAGTTCATGGAATCACAGACCACTTTGGGTTGGAAAGAGCCTTAAAGATCATCCAGTTCCACTCCCTGCCATGAGCAGTGACATCTTCCACTATACCAGGTTGCTCCAAGGCCCATCCAACCTGGCCTGGAACACTTCCAGGGATGAGGCAGCCACAACCTCTCTGGGCAACTTGTGCCAGTGCCTCAACACCCTCACAGCCAAGGATTTCTTCCCAATGTCCTATCTATCCCTGCCCTCTGGCAGTGGGAAGCCATTCCCCCTTGTCCTGTCCCTTCAGGCCCGTGTCCAAAGTCCCTCTCCAGCTCTCTTGGAGCCTCTCTAGGCAATGGAAGGTGCTAGGAGGTCTCCCTGGAGTCTTCTCTTCTTCAGGCTGAACACCTGTGACAACTCACCCTTAAGGGGTGGAGGAAGTACCTAACCACACAATACCCCCTGCTCTCCCAGCCTGTCTCCAGAGCAGAGGTGCTCCAGCCCTTGGACCATCTCTGTGACCTCCTCTGGACTCATTCCAACAGGTCCTCATCCTTCTTGTGGTGAGCTCAGTTTCCCACCAGCTCCTCAGGAGCACCCACAGTATGGTGGAGGACACAGGTGCTGGGAGAGGCAGAATCACCAGGTGGTGGGGGCAGAGCAGCAGGAGGCACATGTCCCCATGGCCAAAAACCAAAATCCCCAACCCCATCATTCAGCTTCTTCATCACCAGACCAAACCCCAAAGCAGGTTTCTACCACTATTTCATTGATGGCTTTGAGGAAGATGAAGCATCTCGACCTCCTTCCTAATATTTTCTGAAACTTCAAATTATTTTGGATTGCACCTGAGAATGAAAAGATTTTCACAGACAGGAGAAGCAAAGTGATTGGAGCTGTGCTGGAGATACCACATGAAGGACCCACTATAAACTTGTCTCTCATCTTTGGCTGGATATCTCTTCAGCCTCACAGGGTGCTTAGAAGGTTTTGGATGCCACCTCCTCCTTGCTTCAACCCAGCTTTAACTACAGCAGAAGAGAAGGAACAGCAACGACCTTTGAAATCATTCCCAAAAAAT